CGAGGACCCTGGACTGCCAGGGCAGGGACTCTGAGATGCTCTGTGGAGTGGGAGTGAGTTCCCTGATGTATCCCTACTTGTCACCCGGGTCTTCTGCCTACTGGTGCTGAGCTTATGGTGGCCTGTGAGGACTGCACGACATCCTCTTCAAACCAAGTCAGCCACTGCACAGTCACACAAGATCAAGCCCCAGGCAGCCGAGCACTGCTCAGGGCTGACAAGCCCCCATGCTTCTGGGAACCGAGCAGGTCACAGGACCTGCATGAGGGATTTGGGGCAGGCAGGACAGTAAGGAGGGGTATCCTCATTCAAACACCCTACTCAACAGGAAGCCCTCTAGATTCATGTACATACTGCTCAGTCATTCATGTTAATCTTTTGTGGTTCATGGATCTCTTTGAAACATGTAATGATCTACCCCAGAAAAATGCATAAACCCCCATACGCACACAATGTTAGCGTTCAGATGCCCCAAAGCCCATCCACAGGTCCTCCTGGGATTCACAGACCCAAAAACCCAGCTTTAGCATATCCTCACTGTAAAATAACATTTTTCAATACAGAAATATCAAACATGACAAAAGTGAACTCTAGCAACTTCAGTGTTTAAATGAGGATATGACCATATTTATAATTTCTGATTATAAATTACTTCTAGACAACCCATGACAGCTGGCAGCGAAGCATAAGGAGATATGAGACTTCCACCTTAGAAATTTTGGGGGCCCTCCCAAGTCTCCCACCTAGTTCTGAAAGAGATTCGGGCTCAGGCTGCAGAGACCTTGCCAGCTCTCTCAACAGGGCTCTATCGTGACCCTCAGGCCACCCTGGTAGAGACTCACCAACTCATGAGCAAGCAAAACAGCTGTTTACCTTCAGCCATCTTCTCTCCACTAACCTGAGAGCCAGCAGGTCGCCTACACTAGACACCCTTCTGTATATCACTGTGTGCTGAGCCAATACGCAGGGAACGCTGGGACCCCAGGGGTTTCCCTCACAGGTTTGCTGCATCCACATCCTACAAGGCTGGCAGGGCCATGTGCTCTAACCTCATACAGGTGAAGTCTCTGCAATATTTCAACATTCCGAGACAGAATTGTTGTATAAATCCACCCAACAGTGAAACTCCGCAGAAACAGTGGTAATTGCTCGTGGTATCTAAAACGAAGATGCACACCAATAGTTTAATAATCTGGTTATTTGTTGTAAGACAATTGTAAGTAAGAAGTGATAAAGCAGACTGAACTCCTAGCTTTCAAAAATATATATTCTAAATACTTTCTGTTGTGGACAGTTTCCTATACCACAAACCTACAGTCTCCCCATCAGCCACCATGTCTCGGGTCACCCAGTGAAGTGGGATGACAACAACTGGTAATGCTCCAACCGGGTTAATAGACTCTGGCCCACAGCACACCAGGGCCCACTGCCTGATTTCCTAAATCCTGCAAACTAAGAATGCTTTTTACATTTTTAAGTGATTAAAATAAACCAAAAGGAGACTACTACTCTGCAGGATGTGAAAATTACATGAAACTCAAATTTCAGTGTCCATAAACAAGGTTTACTGGAGCACAGTCAAGCTCATTCATTTACGTGCTGCCCGTGGCTGCATGTGCACTAACAACAAGGACAGAGTGATGTCACTGCCACAGAGACCATGTGGCCTGCAAAGCCTAAATAAAGATTAATTGGCCCTGGGCCAAAGAAGCTTATCAACCTCTGCTCTCCAATAATCTAATTTCCTGGCTATGATTTTAAGTCAATATATTTCTTTATAAAAAATATGACCTAAATGTTTTTGTTGAAAGAAGCATTTGATAACACTAATTTTTTTCTCATCACTATGTAATAACAAAGGAAAATAATTTCTTAACAAATACTGAAGGTGTTTAGCATTCGTCACACAGAATAAGAGATCATGTGCCGAGTACTTGGAACTGTTCAAGTGGTGTCGCTCGGGTTGTCTTTTCCAGAGTAACTCCTACTGAGTTTCCATCGGAAGGACATGCCCAGTACGCTTCCCATGTCTGTCCTGCTGCTGGGTCTCCCCGCATTAAATTCAGCTCACCGGGGCTCAGGGAAGCCAGCCCAGCAGACAGCAAGCTGAAAGCCGGGCACTGCTCACTTGAAGGTCTGCTGTGCAGGAATCCAAGTTCCAGAAAACTCAGTCTGAACTTGCAGACATTTGCTTCCATTGCACACAGCACTTGACTCTATATGCAAAGTGAGTAAAAAACTCAATTCCACAGCTAGTTCGACCACAGAGCAAGTGCAGTGTGTTCTTCATGAAGAAAATTACTGTAAGTGGTTGGAGTAACTCAGTCAATAAGTTAATTTTGGAAGGTACCTAAGAAAAAAATCTCACCTCAAGGAAGGGTGGTTTTTCAGTTTGTCCCAGTCCCTTTTTGCACATTGAGAGAGCTCCTTAGCTTCTTCCCAGTTCCCACTGGCCATCGCAGTGGAAATGTCACTCAGTGAGTGCACAGCCGCTGCATACCTGGGGAAAATGCCATCCAATTTTCACACATGAATGAGTGTTTCCACAAAAATTACCACATCCCGCCTCGAGATATAATCATAAACAGTAAAAGTGTGTTTTTGAAAATAATTTTAATCTAGCAGGAACATACCATAACTAACCCACTGGAATAGCCCAGAAAACTGTTACAGGCCAGGCCATCCGACTAGAAAGACAAACACATTGACACTGTATTACTACATAACGTGTTCCATTATATAAACCTGACAGTGATCGGCTCATCACTCTCAATTTCTAGCACTTGTTCATCATTTATTCATTCAACCATCTGGCAGCAACCATGTAAACATGTAACTGACTTCAGAATTGGAGTAAGATGTAGACTTTGATAGTTTAACAACTTATAGTCAGAGGTAGCCAGAGGGGTACTGCCCAAGCAAAGAGGATTACTTGGGATATTTCAAAAATGACTTCAGGAACACTGGGAGATAGCCATGCTGAAATGTTGACACCACTTAGCTGAAGAAAGACGTCTTCTCATTGCTGCTGCTGCTTTTTTTTTTTTAGTGTGGCCTATATGGGGATCCGAACCCCTATAAACACTGAGCTCTAACCAACTAGACTAATTGCCCAGCCCCTCATTGCTTCTGTATACCAAAAACAAAAATATTTGACCAATGAATTCTAAAATAAACTAAAATATTCTAAAATAAAAACAAAAGAAATTATCTCTGAATATAAAAATTTGCTCACAAATTCTTAAGTCTCATTCTTTGACCGTATGCTACTGGACAATCTGAAGGTAAGAAAAGACAGTGCACAGAGAACAGCCTAGAGGCTGGTACAGCCTGGCAGGAGTGCCCTCCCCACCCCAGCAGGCAGGTGGTCAGGAGAGGCCCCCAGCACCCAGCATCACAGCTTGATCAGAGTCTCACCTTAAAGAGACCATCTAAAACCAACCCCATTGTGCCCCACCTCCTGTCTCTCTTCACCACCACCAAGCCAGCCCCCATCATCACTGGACTCATGCGGGCAGTGCCCACCCCTCCCCTGACACGAACGCACCACCTGCTTTCCAAAGCCTTCCCCGCTGCTGCCTGGCACTGCTGAACAGAGAAGGCATCCTCTCCCAGCGCCCCCCCTCGCCCTGCCCTCTGCACCCCACCTTCTCTAACCCTGGCTGAGCGCGGCCCCCCGCAGCGGCCTTTCTTGCAGCCCTCCCACCCCGGCTGCCACTGCGGAGGGAGCAGCCCTCCTTTCTGCCCCCTGCTGCTCCCAAATTCCAAATCATCTTCCTTCCGCCTTGGAAGCCCCCATTCCTGGGAAGCGCACGTCTCTCCTTGAGGGCATCTGCTGATCTTCCTGCACCAGCCAGCGGCTTCTGTCACCTTCTGAAACCGTCACCTCATCCTTGCTCCACCTCCCATCACCCCGGCCCATGACTTTGACATCTGTGAGGGCAGAGCGCTCCCTCAGTTCCCAGACCCCCTCCGATTACCCCCTTCTCCGCCCCTCTTCTGCCAATCACGTGCCCAGGCCACTCGCCACTTCCCGCCACTGCCCCCACCCCAGATCCGCGGCTGCCAAGGCCACTGCTCCAGCCCCTCACACTCCCCACCCCCACCGAGTGAGTCACCTCCAGCCCCAGGCGGGCGCCTCCTGTACCCGCAGCCTCTCCCCGGCCCAGCCACCCCAGCACGTGAGCACACGGACGCCTGCTCTCGGCTGTCCCCAGGGCCCTGATCTCTTGCAGGCGGTCACAGGACCAGGCTGGCCGCTGTCACCTCACCGCAGACCCCAGGCTGAGAACGGGCACGTGCTCTTGCCGCTCAGCGCAAGGAGAGGTCTGACCGTCCCTGTGCGGGACCGCGCCCCCTCCCCTGCCTCCCGCAGCCCCCACCACGCAGCCTGCGCTGCGACTCCTGCCCAGGACAGGGCGGGATCAGGAGAAGCCGCTCGGCCTCGCCCCTGCCCTCCTCCGTCCTCCCTCTGCGCTCGCACCCCAGCCCCGCCGGCTTTCCAAGGGTCTGTCCTGGGCTTGTCCCCTTCTCCTTCACCATCAACCCCTCCTTTCCACGCTCATCAGCGCGTGCACACACACACGTGCACACGCACCAGCATGTCCCGTCTCTGAGAATCCACGAAAGGACACTCTCGCCCTCACGTGCACCACAGCAGTGGAGCCACACCTGCCCCAGCTGTGTTACCACCTCCCCTTCCTCCCGACCGGCTTCCCTTCCCCCCCACGCGTCCCTCTGCAGCTCTCCTGCCCAGGTCACCAACAGCACACCTCTTGCTAAACCCAATGGGCACTTTTCTGGCCCCACGTTCACTCCACCTCCTCACTACTTCACACAAGTGACTATTCATCCTTGCGACGCTTTCTTCTCTAGGCTTCTAAGTGACACCTGCTCGGATTCTCCTGCTTTCCTGGCTGCTCCCCGTCTCTGCCCATCTCTGAATGCCGCTGCCACCCCGCCTTCCTCTTCTTCTCCCTCAGTACCTCGTTCAGGTCCTCCTCAGTACCTCGTTCAGGTGCCTGGCTTCAAACACCACACACATGCCAGTGGCTCTCAAACTTCTCTCCAGGCTGGACCTGTTCCCTGAGCTCCTGACAGCACATCCCACGCCAAACACGACAGCTTCACCTGAACGCTGATGGCACCCCACACACCGACTCTGCATCACGCCCTGAACACCGTAGCACTCCACGGCCCCCATCTCACTGGATGACACCACCCCCCCCACAAGGCTGGACACCAGAGCCACCCTGGATCCACTCCTCCCTTCTCCACCTCCACCTAGTGGTGGTCAAGTCTCATCTGTTCCATTTCCAGACCATCTCATATGGACTCTGTCCTCTCCACTGCTGCCACCACCAGCCCCAGGCAGCCTCCTTCCCCTAGACCACTACCAAGGTCAACCTAGCTTTCCTGAGGCTTCTCCCACTCCCCTCTAACCCGTCCATGGGATGCTTTTGTAACAACATGGAACAGATCACGCACCTACCTAAACCTCTTCTGTGGTTTCCTGTTACTCAGGGAACAGATTCAGCCTGCTCACCAGGGCTCTGAGACCGAGCACCTCTGGCTGCTGCAGTCCTGGCTAGCTGGCCACTACTGCCCCTGGAGCTTTAGCACAGAGTTCTCCCGAGTTTTTCCAACTCAGCCAGCTCCTTCCTGCCTCAGGCCTGTGCAGACCTCCAAGTGGGGATGCAGGTTCCTAGACCCCTATACAGCTATCCTCCTCATTCTAAGTCCCACTTCAGATGCCACCTCTCTAGGGACACCCTCTCCGACACTCTGCCTATAAAGTAGAACTGCTCCTGCCCAC